AAAAAAAGATATATATATATATATATATATATATATATATATATATATATATATATATATATATATATATATATATATATATATATATATATATATGGGCAATTCCACGTGAGATTTTAGTCGACGTCTTGAAATCGACCAAAAATATTTTTTTTCTATTCTGTATCGAAAAAAACAGATACGTATTTTTTTATTTTTGTTAAATTGTCCAAATTTTCGAGTTATGAATTTTCGAAATTTTGGACTTGTAATTGTAGACCTATATTTAGTAGCTTATAAGTCCGAAATTATTCAGTTTAGGAAAAAGTTGTGGAAGAATGAAACTTTTAGTTTTCTTTCGACTTTTAAGAAATGTAAAAAAAAAATTTTTTTTAATTTTTTTATGTATTAAAAAAATTTTTTTTTATAAACAAATTAATTTTTTTTAACATTAGCCCGGATTTTTTTTATTTTTTTAAAATTTATTTATTCCTTATAATATATAGAAGATTTTTCAAAAAATCCCGAGGTGGGACTGATGTGTTGAATGAGTTTTAAAACATTTTCATTATTTGGATACAGAATATACGACACTGGCATTGATATAGTAGATTAGGCAAGATGCCTTCCAGCCTTCTGCGGCCGAGCGGTTTAAATACGTGCGTTAAGAACTTCCGGTATGCGTTAGAGGCGGGGGGACGTGAGTTCAATCCCACATGCGAGCGAATATTTTTCATTCTTCGTTTTAAGCGTTATATAAAATAATAAAATTGTGTGTTGTGAATAAAAACTGTGTGAATATGTTTGTAAGTAATGTTAAAAGTCTGTTAAAAAATCAGTTAATATTAATTAATATTAAAAAAAATATTAAATAATTTAATAAAATAAAAAATTAAAAAAAAATATTAAAAATAAAATATACCTAAAATTTAATAAAATTTAATAAAATATTTAAAAAAATATTATATTAACTGATAATAAATAAATATAATAATATATTAATAAATTAAAAAAAATACTAAATATTTAAAAAAAAAAATTTTATTAAATATACAATGAAATAATTTTCATAATTGATTCAAATAATTATTTACTAGCTTAAAATATTAAATTTATTTGATTTGAATAATTTGTATTTGATACAAATAACTGTTTATTTGATACAAATAACTGTTTATTTGATACAATAAAACAAAATACTTAGGTCTAGTAAATATTTATTTAAGTTGAATAATTTCTATAATTGATTTAAATAATTATTTATTAGTTTTAAATATTCCATTTACTTGATTTGAATAATTTGTATTTGATTCAAATAAATAGTTATTTGATGCGATAAAATAAAATATTTAGGTCAAATAAATATGTATTTGGTTCAAATACACATTTATTGGATTATAACCAAATAAATGATTTATTTGGATCAAACCTCGTATTTCCTAAATAATTATTTATTGTAATATACTGCTTATAAAATCAATTAATATGTCAAAATAAATGACACCGATCTATATAACTCTTAACAATTTTCACAGCAAATGTGTTTTCAGACTGAGTTTCTCCAAACTTATCCTTCCTTCTGTGTAAAATTGTGATTTAGTCAAATTCCAAGTTAGACAAGGCTTAAAAATTCTTAATTTAGTGCAAGTTTCTTAAAAGAAATTTTGAAAAAAATTGATTGATACATACATTGTTAAAAATAAAATTTTATTTAAAAAATTGCTTCCTCATAGAAGAATGATTGTATTAGCAAAATTTTCGATTGTGATTTTTTGACATATTTATAAACTTTTTTTCATTATACCTAATCTTTTAGTACTTTATGCGCGAATGGGCATTGCTCCTATAAATTTTATAAATAAATAAAAAAAAATTTTGTTGTAATTTTATCTCAGAAGTCCAAAAAACGGATTATAAAAATTTGTCCCGATGTGTGTGTGTGTGTGTACTAACATTACATTTGCCTCAATATCTCAGAACGAGAAAGAGCTAAAGGCCTCAATTTTTTTTTTAAATTGTAGGTCTCCCCGGGGGACATAAAATGAGAGTATTTTCAGCCCGATTCATAAAGTTTAACAATTTTTTTTTTGCATTTTTCTTTTTGTAAAAAAAACGTTTTTTGGCCATAACTTAAAAAAAATGTTAGGACACCTATAAATGTTTTTCTTTAGTTTTGTAGAGTTTTTTCAGACGCATCTTTTAAGCCTTCATTGAATATTTTTCGTCCATATTAGCCAGAGATATCTGTTTGTAAAATTACGTTACAATTGTAATATAAATATTCTGAAAATTTTAGACATGTTTCAGCAAAGTAAATATTATCGATAAGTACATAAAAAATGCATAACTTTGCTAAAATTTTGAGTTTTTTTATCAAAAATTACATATATCTCGAAAAAAGGAGCAGCTATGATTTTCAAAAAAATTGCAATTTACTAAATCTTATGTACTTTAAAAGATAGCATGATTATTTTAGGGCATCATTTTGATGAGACTTAAAATTTTTGAGGAGAGGTGTGAGTTACCATAAAAACGTAATTTAATGCAATTGTACAAAATCGCGACCGACAAAGATCTGCCAAAAATTTTATCACCTCTTTTCTCCTAATTTCGAGTTACCTCAGCATTTTGTTTGTTATTAAGTACATGAAAGCCATAAAAGTGACGTGATCACATTACAACCGAGGGAATGAAAATTATTTTTAATTATTTGCAATTTCAAAAAGTGTGTAAACTTTGATTTTATTGAATTGATTAAAAAGGTTAATGCAATGAAATGCAAAAATTCACACTTTGCGTGATTAAAACTGCATCGTTTCAATGTTTCTGGTGTAAAGTTGAAATCTGATTTTTTCAATGTTTAACATGTTGGAAACTAAGGAAAAGTAGTCAATTATTACTTTAAAATTCATAATAAAATTAAAGGTCAAATCAGGTCAATATTATTTATTTTTAATCAATAGTAAAGCGATTAATTTTCAACGATTTTTATTGATACATTTAATATGTTTTAGTAATTTAAGTGTCTGTGGAAAACTATCATTACACTGAGACAGAACTTTGATGAATTTGAGATTCGGTATTTTTCTTTTAGTAAAAAATTAATTCTACTCAGACTTTTTACACAAATGTTTTAATAATATTAAAAAATTTTTAATATTTGGTATTTTTCAGTGGAATATTTAGTTTTAGTACCTAAGACTTTTATAATTCCTGTAATTTGAACAGCAGTAGTAAAAGTATATTTAAATTATAATTAGACAAATTTTTAATTTTTATAGCAGTAGCAGATATGAATTTTTAGTTTTTTTACACAGTGAAAAAAAATTTTAATTCAAGCTCTGTCTGCTTGCATGAAAAGTCTTCTAAAATCTGTGCTACTGCAATTCAATATACTTTTATTTTAAAAAATGTATTATTAAATATATTTAGTTTGTTAATTTATCCATAATCATTACACTGAAAAAATATATTTATGGTACTGCCAAAAATATGTCCAATTCTCACATATTATATTGGTGGATATGGAACAGCCATACAGTATTGCTGTTTTAGCCATACGCAGTGTAGAACAGTCATATGTATGTGAGAGACAGTAATATGTATGTGAAGAACACCAATACTGTATTTGAAGAACATAAATACAGTATTGCTGTTTCAGCTATACGTCCTAACCATACGAGTATGACAAAATCGACTATATCATTTTTTTCGCACTGTATTATTTATTTTTATAACAATTAATATTTTCATTATTATTCCTTTAAATTTTAATATTATTTCTTTAATTATTTATATTTTTAATTTATATTTTTAATAATTGAATAAATTTATAATTTATTTTAGTATTTATTTATTAATATTCAAAATATTTTTGAAGTATGCGTTTTCTTAGTTAACATTTTTTTTCACCTCTTTTGTCTACTATAAACGCTTCTCTATTTAAATAGAAAAAAGGACATAATAGACGGCATGCGATGCAGGTTCGTAACTTTTAATGACGTGGCTGCCGAATAATTAAGACGGAATTTTGAGCATTTTCCACTTAAGTTTTAGATGAAGTCCGTGAAGTATTTCAACAAATTTACGACGAGTAAATTAGAAATTAGAAAATCTGATGAGAAATTTGAGAGACAAATCGTGAATGTTTGACACTTTTCAAAATTTAATTACGCGCTAGATAACATTAGGTAACTTAATTGAAGAAGAAAAATATTTTTAGATGATCTTTTTTAATAAAAGTCAGTTTATAAGCTTAATCTACTCAATCCTCATAGAAAATATCTACTGTTTTCATTTAAAAATATTATTTGTTTAGATAATACATTCAATTCAAAAATATATATCACAGAAAAAGAGAAGTGTTATTTTAACACCAAATATGGTGTTACAACTATTTGCAACATTTCTAACCGACACTTTGTGATTTTAATCATCAGAAAACTACTCGCAACAAATTTTACACATTTTTTTCTGTGTATTTTGTAAACATTTTATGCTTGTATTTAATATATTATTGATTTAAGTGAAGCAAAAAATATACTTCAATTAAACTTAAATATGTTTGACTGCATAACAAAGATTATTTTAAGATTGATTAAATAAGGAAAATATGATTCAAATAAATAGTCAGTGCTCCATACATCAAGTTGAATATATTTCAAGAACAATAATTTCAAATATTTATTAAAGAAACATTCAATTTGATTTGAAAAGCTTTTTTACTCCTTTGATACACGAATTTTTCATGTGAAATAATGTTCATCCAGAAAAATGATTCCCCTCTCAAAATATTCTTGTGAAAAGTATTATTTTTAAATTTTTTCTACATTCTTTTCCCAAAACAAATTTCAATTTTTACAGAAATTAGAAAAAGAAATTGGAATAATTTTAATTTAAATTAAATAAAAAATAATTAAAAGAAAAATGAATAGACAAAATTACTATTAGAATCTTCTTTCAACAATGAATCTCTACTAACGTAAATTTTCTGATCTGGTGTCCTTCGGTCTTTTTTGCAGGTGGACACGCCCGACAGTGTTTTACAGAGTGGTTTAGGCCTCGGACCAGACATGGGTCATACGATCTTGCGATCAATGGTGGACCCCAGAGATTACGATAGATTGAGGTATTTCCAGATGAATGGAGGACAGTCCAATACTTTCGAAGAAACCATTCAGAGGGTAGGTTCACGATATTATCAAAATTTACCAAAACTATTCGAAAATTAATTAAAAAACAAATGGATTAAGAACAAAATCAAAAACTACAATCAGTACAGTCATAAGTAAAAAATAATTTTCTAATTTTTTTCAATATTAAGGGAAGGAAGCAGTGAAATTTTAACTTATTAATATTTACATTATTGACAGACACCATAACACCTCGGTCTCCCCTATACAAAACGCCTTAATTAGTGAAAAGATGTTAAAAACCTTTTAATTCTTCTGATTAGATATTTTATTCAATTTAGCTTAGCTTTCACTCCACGCAGAGCCTCCTCAGAGCATTACAAACAATCATGTGTCAAGATTCATACAAAAAACCGCTGCCAAGTTGTACATTTTTATAATTTTGGTGTTCATTTCATGAACACTTTGCTTCCTCATAGAAATAATAATAATTAAAATATATAAGAATTACTTTCTATAAAAGGGTTAAAAATCATTAAATCTTGGTCCAAAAAATGTGTTTTTATATATTCTATAAGATGGTAATAATAGTTGAATAATTACACATAAGAAACAAGAATGTTGAAAAAATGATATTTTCCACAATTTTTGATTTTTCAAATACCAATAATTTCATAATTTCTGCCCGAATCAGGTTAAAAAATAGGTCAACCGAAACGTTTTTTAATGCTCTTCAAGTTGGTAATAATTTTTTGAAGTTACTTTTACATCATTTAAAAAAATTTTTATAAAAGTCTTATTTTTCAAAATTTTAGATTTTTAAAAGTTTAATATCTCCGGTTAATATAGACGAAAAATGTTCAATTAGGGCTCAAAAGATGCGTCTAAAAAACTCTACAAAACTAAATACAAAACAAAACTTCTACATTTTTTAACAAAATTTTTAAAAAAGTCTTATTTTCCAAAATTTTTGATTTTTAAAAGTTTAATATCTCCGGTTAATATGGACGAAAAATGTTCAATTAGGGCTCAAAAGATGCGTGTGAAAAAACTCTACAAAACTAAAGAAAAATATTTATAAGTGTCCTAACATTTTTTTTAAGTTATATCCAAAAAACGTTTTTCTACAAAATGAAAAATGCAAAAAAAAAAATAGTTGAACTCCATGAATCGGGCTGAAAATACTCTCATTTTATGTCCCCCGGGGAGACCTACAATTTAAAAAAAAATTGAGGCCTTTAGCTCTTTCTCGTTCTGAGATATTGAGGCAAATGTAATGTTAGTACACACACACACACATCGGGACAAATTTTTAAAATCCGTTTTTTTGAACTTCGGAGATCAAAATACGTCGAAATTTTTTTGTATTTATTTAGAACATTTATACGGGGAGTTCCTGTGCATATATAAAGTACTAAAGTATTAGGCATAATAAAAAAAAATTTATAAATATGTCAAAAAATGACACTCCAAAATTTTGCTAATACAAAGCTTCCTTTATGAGGAAGCAATATATAAAAAAACTTTTTACAAATTATAAATAACATAAATAATATAAATTGTTAACAAACATAAATATATAAAATTTAAATATAATTAAAAAAAGGGGGGTTTTTTGAGAAAAAACCTTTCCCCAGATTTTGTGATCACATGTTTACCACGACATTGCACATTGAAAATTTTACAAACACATGATTGTTTGTAATGCTCTGAGGAGGCTCTGCGTCGTGGAGTGAATGCTAAGCTTAATTGAGGGCGTGGAACGGATAACTACCTGCAACGCATGGTCGAAAGGGACTATAACAGTCAGACAATAGTGAACGCCTCTAGGCCTCTCACTGATGTCTGACTGGTATAGTCCCTTTCGACCATGCGTTGCAGGCAGTTATCCGTTCCACGCCCTCAATTGAATAAAATATCTGATCAGAAGAATTAAAAAGTTTTTAACATCTTTTCACTAATTACGAATTGACTGATCAACACTTTTAACATATTTTATTAAAACGCCTTAATGTTAGAAAACGCCTGAAAATCCATGCACTTTTAAATCATTTATGTGACTAAATTTTAATTTATTATTAAATGAAAGTTATAATAATTCACAAATGCATAAAATTTTATTCATGAATACATTAATTTTAAGTTAACTTTACATGAACAATAAGTTCAATGCAAAGATACGTTAAATTTAAGGTATTATTGAATGAAAATTGTTCTACGCAACTTTCCGTTTCGACATTTTTAAAAAACACGCGACTCGTAAAGAATTTTCGTTAACTCCTGACAAAAAAGAAAGTTGTCAAGTAACAATTGTATGGAAATAAAAAAATAATAGCTAATAGTCTAAAGCAAATATACTTATTCACTTTTAGTGACAAGTTGCGATATATTTTAACCCTTTCACGCCCATGGGACATATACGTCCCACCTACAAAATCCTCAATATCTTTGAAGAAACTTAATATTTTTGAGTCTAATAGTGCGTTCTCTTCAGGAAGAATAGGGCTTTAAAAATAAGTAACCTAGATCATGTTAAAAAATTCCTATTGTTTAAAAAAATTCATAAATTATTGTTAAAAATCATGAATTTTTAAAATATTTTAAAATCGCCTAAAAATTGTTACTCGGGGGTTTTCGGGGTCGCTGATTACGAATCCGGTGCTAGTTTTTCAAAATTCAAAATGGCGGATCTAATATGGCGGACGACAAATGTAAAAATTAAACGAATTGTCATGAAACTTGTTACTCGGGGGTTTCTAGGGTCGCTGAATACGAATCCGGTGTTATATCTTTAAAATTCAAAATGGCGGATCCAATATGGCGGCGTTATTTTTAAAATCGTTTAGTTTCACCAGAAACTTGTTACTCGGGTGTTTTCGGGGTCGCTGATTACGAATCCAGTGTTATATTCTTAAAATTCAAAATGGCGGATCCAAGATAGTGGACGATTTTTTTAAAACATTTTAATTTCACCTGAAACTTGTTACTCGGGGGATTTCTGAGTCGCTGATTACGAATTAAGTGTTAATTTTTAAAAATTCAAAATGGCGGATCCTACACGGCGGACGACAAATGTAAAAATTGTTTGGATTAGAGGGAAACTTGTCACTCAAGGGTTTTTATGGTCTCTTATCACGAATTTGTAGTTTATTTTAAAATTGCGAGTGTGTATTTATTTATTTATTTATGTCAGTAGATGGACTTGTTTCTTTCTACTCTCACTGGATTCGTAATCAGCGACCCCGAAAACCCCCGAGTAACAAGTTTCTGGTGAAACTATACGATTTTAAAAATAACGTCCGCTATATTGGATCCGTCATTTAAAATTTTAAAAATATAACACCGGATTCGTATTGAGCGACCCTGAAAACCCCCAAGTAACAAGTTTCTGGTAAAACTAAACGATTTTAAAAATATCGCCCGCCATATTGGATCCGCCATTTTGAATTTTAAAGATATAACACCGGATTCGTATTCAGCGACCCTAGAAACCCCCGAGTAACAATTTCCAAGCCAATCCGATCAATCTGTAAAAAAGTTGCTTGCCATATTGGATACGCCATTTTGAATTTAAAAAATTTTATAATTCTGATATCAGATTCGTAATCAGCGACCCCGAAAACTATGAATAACGTTACACTTACGTTTTTTTAACCGACCAGTTATGCCTGGGTGTGAAAGGGTTAATTGACAAAATAAGTAAATAAGTGTAAATTAGTATTAGTTAGTTTTAAATTTAAAACCGTATGCGGGGTTAGAAATATTATATTTAATATATTAACTATATTAAATATATTAAGCTACTATAGTGTAGTGTCCTCAGTTGATATTGTGATTGTGTTTGTATACAACATAAACATATAGGGCAAAAACACTAAAAAATATAAACTGAAATCGTTTTGTATTTTATTGGTATGTTAAATTTGAGGTTATATCTCAGAGTCAAATGGATAAATAAAATTTCATTCACTTATGCTGGGAGTTTTTTCTATCCACGTACATTAAAATTAATACATCCATGCATGGATTTTCAGTTAGAAATAACTGAATTTTCAATCACGTTTTCTTTAAATTTTTTGTATATAAATGGAATAAACTTCTACTATATGGGCAATTCCACGTGAGATTTTTCTATGGCGTTTTAAAATCGCTTAAAAATATTTTTTTCTCATTCTTTGTAGAAAAATAGGATTAAATAAGTCTTTTTTTATTTTTCCATATTTGCCAAAATTTTCAAGTTATGAATTTTCGAAATTTTGGATTTTTAAAGTAGACCTATTTTCAATAGCTTATAAGTTTGAAAGTATTGAGTTTATAAAAAGTTGTTAAAGGAAGAAAATTTTGGTTTTTCTTCAACTTTTAAGTAATGTAAAAAAAATTAATTTTTTTAAAATTTGGGCGTGATTAATTTTTATTTTTTTTTATTTATTTATACCTGATAACATACAGAAAATTTTCCCAAAAGTCCTGAGATGGGCCCATTAAGTTTAAGGAGTTTAAATTTTTTTCAAAATTCGCTTGCAAGTTGTTCGTGGGCTACGCTACAATTCAAAGTATGATTTTTTTACAATCGGCTGTTTAAAACTATCTACATCCTACAATTTTTTGATATCACACTTAAATCTGTTAAAAATTGTAGGATATAGACAGTTTCGAAGAGTCATTGTAAAAAATCATACTGTCAAATGTAGCGTAGCTTACGAGCAACTTGCAAGCGAATTTTGAAAAAATTTTAAACTCCTTAAGGGGTGAAATTTAGGAATATTTTCAAAGAGTATATTAAAAGCTATTACATTTTCGTATTCAATACTTTATTATATATCTCAAAATGTACCAAAAAATATATTAAACATATTTTTTTTATTATAAAATGGCCTGCTCCAGGATCCGTTTTAAATAATGACGTTTTTTGGAGGCCCAAAATCGTCGAAATGGCTGTACCGACAAAGAACCTGGAATAAAAAACCAAAAATTTTCTTTTAATATATGACATAAACTAGTAGACCACGTAGGGATTTTTTGATACAGTACCGTCCACGAGTATCAGGACG